AGAATGTCTACATAGAATATATAGAATGTCATACTACATAGAAATGTCAGTGTGTTATATAATTATTATTTTTTATTTTTTTAAATCAATGCATCTACTGGCTACTAATCACCAAAAATCGCAGTTCTGTCTCTTTAACTCTATGGATTCAAGCGACCTGCTAAGAACTTCCTGGAACTATTTGAAGTCTACATGAATCATGTGATGATCAAGCATTTTGAACTTCCATTGACACAAAACTCTCCCTCCCAAGGGCTCTGGTCATACCCAGAAAAATTTACATAATAAAGATGAAGCCTACTGAAAATAATTGCACCATAAACCACATAATGAAGAAGTGCATAATTTCAACATCGAGGATTTTTTTGAAAAAAAAAAAAAGAATCAAAAAGAGAATATTTGCAAATTAGTGTTTCAACTGTAATAAAAAAAGTTATATAAAGTACTAAGTATAAGGTAATTTTTCACCAGATGACTTATTTAATCATGCTTAGTAGTTTTCTTACTCGCTATTATTACTGCAGTAGCTGTACTTTTACTCAAGTCAGTGTTTCTTTATTATATACTCATATGTACAAGTTTTTGTTGTTTTTATCTTATCAATAAACAAATCTAGTGTGTTTGCTGTTAGTGTTTTAATTTGAACTAATTGCAAATCTTTGTAATTTTCCCATAGCTGACCTCTTGACTTTACTACATTGCTGATATGAAGTGTGAACAAAAACAGGAAGGAAACAAACTCCTTTAGAATTTTTTTTTTTTTAAATGGCCACTTCGTCTATATTACACTGGCACACACTATTTTGTCCACTTCTGCTCTGTCCATAAGATAACTCTGTAAGTAATTATAATCTCAAGGTTTATGCTTTTGTATTTCTTAACATGGACATGATCTGGACATTAAAGCAACAATTTTACAAAAATCTCTTGTGTATTTACCTCAGAAAAGTTAAAATGTTGGAATTTGCTGGTGTTCTGTACTTCATCTTTCTGATACATGCGCAAGGTACTGTCTCTTTCATCCTCTATTTCTTAAGACATATTGCACTGTATATACCTATTCTTTTATTGTTTACTGTATGATACCTAAATAGAAAGAAGTCATTTATTATCAATAAAAGTTTTGTCAACTATATTAGCTGGAATATTCATAAAAACGTGACACAGAGAGGAATGATCACTTTTACTGAAACGTTTGCTGTTATAAATGCATTATATGTTGTAAATTTAATAAGTCATAAGCCATTTTAACATACACCATTTTATTTTTATTTTTTTATTTGAATCAGTAATTTTATTTATAGCTCTAGCAGTAACACTTTACAATAACAGTACATGAATAATCATGCACTAATACCTGAATTAATACTTACTTAAATATGAACTAATAATAAGTTAAGGAATGTACTAATCACGAACTAGTGAAGAGCTAACCTTAACTATGACCTAACTATGTGTAAATAACCTAAGTACATGTTAGTACATGCATGTTAGTTAATGTATTAATTAACACGTAGGGGCAAACCATATCAAATTCCACCCCTGTGGGCAATGGAGCAGTGCCCTGAGCCTTAGCTACCCAGAGCATGTACTAGTGCTACAGTGGGATTTAAAGAAAAATAGAAGGAGAATGATGTGAAACAGGTTGAGATGAAATCATTGGTGTTTATTGGTTTATTGGACTTTTTTCTATGTTCTATAAGGAGGATTAATGTAAATTATAAAAGCGCCATCCAATGATATTTTTGTACACAGCTGCATGTGGAAAATTATATAAACACTTATGCACATTTAATTCATATTCTTTCTTATAGAGCATGTTTGACTTAGGTTACTCGTACATGTTAATTAATTAATATATTACTTAAAAAACTTAAAATTACTTAAAAATGTACTAACTAACTATTTAAGGTGGTCGTTATTTACGGATTCACAGTTAAGGTTAGCTCCTTATCAATTCATGATTAGTACATGCCTTAACTCATCATTAGTTCATATTTAAGTGAGTATTCATTACATAAATAATTATTCATGTTCTGTTATTATAAAGTGTTATTGCTATAACTTTATAGTGTGTGTGTGTGTGTGTGTGTGTGTTTGTGTGTGTGTGTGTGTGTGTTTTGCAGGTTCTCCTAATCAGAAAAATGTGACGTGTGATGATGAAAGCATCTGTACATTGGAAACGTCACATGTGTTCATTAAGTGCTCTTACACACACATCAACATCCACACTGTGATCTGGTTCAGTCCTAACCAACATCCCAGGGACCAACATCCCAAGGAGCTGGCTTTAGACTCCGAGTTCGCTGGCCGAGTGAGTCACACAGAGACCCTAAACTCCAGCACTCTGTCAATAAGAGACGTGAGACTGAGAGACTCTGGAGAATATCGCTTCATGCTCGTTACAGCAAACGGAGAGAAATATCTCAGCTCGATAGCTGTGAATTTAACAGTGACAGGTGATATGTTATTTAAATAACATTCTGATCGATAAGAGGATTTATTCATTATTCTTATATATTATCTGCTTTTCTACTAGTTTTCCTTCTGATCATGTGTGTCTGCTTATTATTTGATTATTTCTTTTTCTTTTATAGTAGTACAGTATTAAAATGAATATTGGAACATCCAAAGTGTTTATGGAAATAGTCACACAGAATTCCCCTCCAGTTACTGAAGATATCCTTGAGTGTGATGGAAGAAACATTTTTTTTAGCCGTGCAAAAAAGGCAGTAGTCTTAGGGTAGTGTGTTCCACTTTGCTACTTCTTCTTTTTCTTCTTCCTCTTCTTCTTCTTCTTCTTCTTCTACTTCTTCTTCTTCTTCTTTTCTTGTGGTTTTACACCATAATGTTGTGTATTGTGCTGTGAATTTTTTGTTAGTTCCATAATTTACTTTTTCTCCGAATTTTATAAGGCTTATAAACTAGTATTTTATGTCCTATGTGCAAGAAAATTACATCATAATGACAGAATTGTGTATTTTCTTTGTACAGTAAGTCAAATTTCAGTATTTACCAGAATTTTCTTTTTAAAAGAGAGAGAAAAAAAAATCATTGGAAAGATACTGGAAAGACAGACAGATACACATTGTAAATGTGTTTCTTTTACTTTCCACATCTTTTACTCTTCAGTGAACTGCTATATGTGCTGGACAGATTTTTATTAGCATTTGGTTTTGACCACTGCTTTACCTGACAAAATAGATAAACACAGTTTTCAAGGTGCCTCCCATATCACTGTAGCAAGTGATAAAGAAAGGTTAAAGTGTAAATCTTGGTTAGTGGTTAGCATTTTTGCCTCACACCTCCCGGGTTGGGGGTTCGAACCCACCTCCACCTTGTTTGTGTGAAGTTTGCATGTTCTCCCCATGCTTCGGGGGTTTCTTACAGGTACTCCAGTTTCCTCCCCCAGTCCAAAGACATGCGTTGTAGGATGATTGGAAATTCTAAATTGTCCGTAGTATGTGTGTGATTGTGCTTTGCAATGGTTTGGCACCCTGTCCACCTTGTGCCTTGGGTTACCTGAGATAGGCTCCTGACTAGCTTGTGTAGTCAGGATTATGGAAGCTCAAAATCGTGGCCTAAAAATGACATGCATGTATACATCCATGTATTTTCACAAATTTAATAAAAATCCCAAAATGCAGATTTAATGAAAGCAGTCTTTATGGCAGCTTTTACCTGCTGGAATAACTCTTTATGTCAGTAAATGTTTACGTAGGATTATTTTAGTTCTCATGTGTTAGTTGTTAAAGTGTTACCAAAATCCAGCTATTAAAACCTGTATTGCACTTTAAACTAATCTGGATATTATTGTATATTATAAAAAAGTGTAATTTTTAACGATCTTCCCTTTGTTTAAACAATTGAGCCTATTGCATAAAAATTGTTGTCAAATTTATTATTCGTAGTGTTCCACTTTGTGTGCCATTATAATATTCTGACCCAAACAAAGCATAATGCTGTACAAATGCTGTATGTGTGTTCAGATCTGCAGGTGAGGATACATCCTGGCACCATGGAGCAGCTAAGTCTCATCTGTAGCACCCAGTGCAGGCTGGCTGCATACTGGAACAGCTGGTGGAAGAATGGAAAACGTATAAAAGCTAACCAATTTAATGAGCCACTTATCTTATCTGCTGGTGATGGAGGCACATACTTCTGCTCAGTCAAAACCAAAGCTAAGGTGATCCAATCCCCTGCAGTATGTGAGTATGAAGTCTGTTTCAGTTTCTAATGTGTTACTGTATACTAGACTGCACAAAAAGAAGAAAGGTGTGTCTGCAAAGTGATCAGTGGATAGATCATTGGGTAGTACAAATAGGCGTGTCTATATGTGAATCAAAGACATGCCCTTTAAATGCTTCTGAGTAGCAGATGTGCACTGATGTCGCAAAAGGAAATTCTAGCAGGCAGAGAGAATAAATTGCTGCAAAAGCTTTTGTGTATGAAGTGGATGAGTTGCTTATATTTTTCCAGAAAGGTGTACCAAACAACGGTAAAAAAAACAAAAAAACCCCCAAAAAAACAGGGCGAGAATCCAGCACCTCGGCCATTTTTTACACCTTCATGTTTCCTACTGCCTCCCAAGACTGAGGTCAAACTTCACAAAGTGAAAATAATGGCACTGGAAGTAAACGTGCATCTTTCAGGTCCCTCATCCTTGACGACTTTTATTTGTTGTAGCTGGGAAAAACTAAATGTTCTAGGTGTCTCTCATATCACCATAACAAGGAGTTTCAAATCTTAATGAGATGTATGTATGTATGATGGAGTCGTCCCATGATATTATTATAATAAATATTTTACAATAAACAATGCAATATAATACTAAAATAAGGGTTTCATTAGAGTCACTCTTGTATATTAAAAGTCTAATATTAAAAAAAAAAGTCTGTTTTCTGAATTACATTTACATCATTTTGGCTGCCACCCTTACCTCGAGCTATTTAGAGACGTGAAGGACCTTACAATTATCTTATTTATATAACTGAGCAGTTTGGCATTGCTGGGATTTGAACTCAGAATCTTCTGATCAGTAATCCACTGCCTTTACCAATGAGCTCACACTGTATTGTGTAGGCTTGTTTTTCAAACTAATCTCCTCAAATCTGTGATTCTTGCAGGTATCTGGGAAAAAAACTGTTGGAATGTGACTTACGCACAGAGAAGTGTGTGTGCTTTAAAAGGTTCATCAGTGAACATTCCCTGCACTTACTCATATCCCAGTGGAGAAAAATTCCATGAAAGCTACTGGACATTCAATCAGACTGACATGAGACTCTTGGAGCAGTTTGCAGGCCGTGTGGAGTTTGTTGGAGATAAAGAGAGTAACTGCACTCTAAGACTGACTGACCTGAAAGAGAATGACACTGGAGATTATCGCTTTCTCTTCAGCAGTGATACCACACAGCCAGTTTTCAGTAGTTCACTCAGGGTCCAGCTGATTGTTACAGGTGAAGAAATGACATTTGTGTGTGTTTAAATGTAAATATTGTCCAAATAGCATTTCTGATCATTTATTTCTATTGTAGATGTTCAGGTCAGGGTGAGTTCTGCCAACGTGTCCAAGGGACAGACAGTAACACTGAGCTGTATCACCAGCTGTACTCTCCCTTACCATACGTTTAGCTGGTACCAGAACGGCCAACGCATAATGAACAAACTCACCAAACACAACCATCTTAATCTGGATGTACCTAGCTACAAGGATAGAGACAAATACACATGTGCTGCGAGAGGTAATATTCCATCTATATGCATGTTTTTTCATTAAGCATTCAAAATAGCTTCAGCAATCCCAAGTCAAGTAGGTTTTATGTCATCTCAATTAAATGAAACACCTCAGTTAGTGTTTTGATGATGGTGGTTCTCTTCAGGCGTATGGTCTGAGCCCCCACCCCTTCAACCTCTGCAGCAATGCTGGCAGCACTCATACATCTATTCATTGAGGGAACCATGAATGCCAACATGTACTGTGACATACTGAAGCAGAGCATGATCAGTATGCAGTATTCCAGCATGATAACGACCACAAACACACCTCCAAGACCACCACTGCCTTGCTAAAGAAGGTGAGGGTGAAGGTGATGGACTGGCCAAGCATGTCTCCAGACCTAAACCCTATTGAGCATCTCTGGGGCATCCTCAAACGGAAGGTGGAGGAGCACAAGGTCTCTAACATCCACCAGCTCCGTGATGTCATCATGGAGGAGTGGAAGAGGACTCCAGTGGCAACCTGTGAAGCTCTGGTGAACTCCATGCTCAAGAGGGTTAAGGCAGTGCTGGAAAATAATGGTGGCCACAAAAAATATTGACACTTTTCAAATATTTACACAAATGTGAGCGCTGTACTCACTCTTGTGAAATACTGTATAGATAGATAGATAGATAGATAGACAGATAGACAGATAGATAGATAGATAGATAGATAGATAGATAGATAGATAGATAGATAGATAGATAGATAGATAGATAGATAGATAGATAGATAGATAGATAGATATTTATGGCATTTGTCAGATAGAAAGAATAGGCTATGTTTAGGGAAGAAACTGACCAGTCAGCTCTTCACAAATCTTCTATATGTGACATCTTTGTAAAGATTAATTGTTGTGAGCCATGATTGGTCATGTAAGATATTTGAAACCTCAATCATAGAACCTGTTAATCACAAAAGACACAGCACACAACATTTATGGAAGCAAAGACCCCATTTGAAACAATGTGGAGCCAGATGTGGTAGGATGCAAAGGCAGTGCTCAGTTATCTGATCTTTCTGGGACTGAAAACAGTCTGGCTAGTTCATGACTAGATACCAGGAAGACCAATGATATGCACGCAAAGATGAGCATGGTCATAGCAGAGTGTGACAGTATTGCTAAATACTGTATGGCTTGCACATTGAGTGTAACATTATGTGTTTTATGCGTTTGTTTCTCTGTAAAGTCATTGAAGCTGAGAGCTACTCAGCAGCTTCCGGGACTGATTGGTGGTGGATTCAGCATGCTATATGGGCAGCAGGAGTATTCATGGCTGTATTAACTCTATTTATTGCCATTCAGCTTATCAGGTGAGTGAGGGAAGAAATACTTTACACTATATGTCCAAAAGTTTATGGATATCTGACCATCAAACCCATATGTTGGCCTTCCATACATATGCACATCATTGTCTAGAATGGCATTGTATACTGTAGCCTTCAGACTTCCCTTCACTGGAACTAAGTGACCAGGCCAAAACCTGTTCCAACATGACAACGCGCCTGTGCATAAAGCAAGATCCATAAACACATGCTTTACTAAGGTTGATATGGAAGATCTCGAGTGGCCTGCACAGAGTCCTGTCCTCAACCCCAGTGAACACCTTTGGGATGAACTGAAATGCCGAATACACACCAGGTCTCCTCGCCTGACATCAGTGCATGACCTCACTAATGCTCTTGTGTCTGAATGGGCAAGTCCTCACAGTCACCTTCCAAAATCTAGTGGAAAGCCTTCCCAAAAGAGTGGATGTTATTATAACAGCAAAGGTGGAATAAATCTGCAGCCGTACGCACATATGGGTACATGGATGGTCAGATGTATACATAAGTTTGGCCATAAAGTGTGCATATGTAATGTTATTATTTGTTAAAGCACCTTGCAATCTTTATGCATGTTTAAATAGATCTGATGCTAAATTCTAGGCCAGTACACAGAAGCATACATGTAAAAGTGCTAGTGCTAGAAAAACATGTGAAAAACAATGCCTTTTTCTCCTTTTTTTTTTTTTTAAACATATGAATCAGGGACGTTGTGTGGTGCGTTGGTGTATTTTGTGCATATTTTTAGCATGATGTTATATGGATGAGCAGAACATGGAAGTGTAACATATATATATATATATATATATATATATATATATATATATATATATATATACATGTCTTATTTATTAAAATAAATTGACATTAGCTTTACAGTCTGCTCATTTACTTACTTGTGACTTATTAACTGTTTAGGGTTGTGAGTTTTTCCAGTAAATCTCAACAAGATCTGATGGATTTGTTCTATTAATAATTTCTTAAGAATTAAGAATTTATTATACAAACATGACAACCATTTCAATGTGCCAGTGGATATGTAGTGTGTATTATAACTGTGTTAATTAGATAAAAAGTACAGCTTGCCTACATTTCTACACTAATAGTTGGAGATCATGATTACCTCATCCATAATCCTAATTCTTAGTCCTGTCACTGTATAAAAAATTTTAATAAAATTAATTACCACACAAAAACTACTACACTAAAAGTGTATATGAAATGGAGAAATATACCGTTTTGCTCACAGTTAGGAACAAAGAGGCTGAGTCAGCAGGAAAGAAGTCACTTTGCTTGTTGAATCAGGGTAAACAGGGAGCTGAGGTAAGCAGATGTCTAATTATGATTTGTACTTTGGAAGCATTGACGTCAGTTGTACCAAATATAGTCTCAGCCAATTTGAAGAAAAAAGAAAGTCAGAAAGCTCTGAACTGCATGAAGGTGCAGTCTAAAAATAACAAGCCGTAGATAACAATAAGAATCTAATTATGAAAATGAGTTGACATGAGCTTTAAATAAAGTCCTTGACACTGAAGGATATTGTTACAGAAGTGATTTATTTGTGTGTTTAGGAGGGCAAGACGAACAAAGAATCATACAGATACTCAGGTATGAACTTTCTCTAAAGTAGAATTTGTCCTTCTTGTTCTCTTTCTGCTCTTAAAATGATGTTCCCCCTCCATTCCTAGAGTATTTCAAACCTTGTAGATGGCATATACACAGGTCTGAACCCTATGACCATGTCTCTGACCATGATACTCTCAGAGTAAGTGTTCATTTTAATGTGTGCAAATACTGTGTGTATTACAGTGGTCTACGTTTTTCTCTACATATTTTAATTTTCAGGCTGTAGAGGTATCACTAACAGACACCTACACTTCTCTGAGTTCTGCAAACCGGTCCTCTGAGTACAGCACACTGTTTGCTTATTCAAGGTATGATGTTCTCAGCCACCCACACACAACACACTGGAACACAGATAACTTTAATATCCATGGAGCTAGATCCTACAGAGAGAGAAAAAAATTACCACTGCTGTACCTTTAACCTTTTCCTGCCAGTCTATTCTTCTTCAGTCTATAATTAGGGGTCCAAGCACCGACTATACAGTATAAAAAGCCTAGCTGTTAAAATTGCAGGATTTTGTTGTATATAAAAAAAACGAAACCAAGGTAAATCATGTCATCAAATCATTTTCCCACTGTTAATATATAGCAAAATGTGTCAAATAGAAATGTTTCAGAGGAAATAAAATAGAACAAAATCTTACAACAATAACCTGGTTGAACAAATGTGTACACCCCTTTTCACATCTTGGCTTGACAATTTTATTCCACTCCTCTTTGCAAAAATTATCCAGAACTATAAATTGTGAGGGGATCTCCTGTACACAGGCCTCTTTAAGTCATACCACAGGTATTCGATAGGATTTAGATCTGAGCTCTGACTGGGCCGTTCCAAAACTTTGATCATCTTCTTCTGAAGCCATTCCTTTGTGGGCATGGATGTGTGTTTTTGGCTTGTTAGCTTGGAGCAATCTATGATTCCGTTGATCTTGAACAGAGCCCCAGTCTCAGCTGAAATGAAGCAGCCCCATAGTGTGATGTTGCCTCCACCATGTATGGTGTTCTTTAGACAATAAGCTGTCTTGTTTTTGCAGTAAAAAATCCTTTAAAATGATGCCCAAAAAACCATAACATATTTTGCTGCATAGTTTGGTTAAATGCAGGTAGACTTGGATATTTTTTAATGTGAAAGGGCTTCTGTCTAGCCACTATACTTCACATCCCAGATATGTGAAAAAAACAAAAAAAAAAAACAAATTGGTGGGGGTTTTTCCCCCAAAAAAAAAAATTTTTTTTCTAAAAAAAATAAATTTTTTTTTTATAAAAAAAAAAAAAAAAGACATATTTGATAGATTATGTGTCAAAGATGTGTATTGACAGGAAGCTCATTTTGTAAAGCATATTTAATGCCACATCAATAAAATG